TTTTTCGGCTTTATATTTTTATTTATTTTATATAAATATTGCGTGAGAATAAAAATATCAAAAAATCTTAATTTTTCTTTAAATTTATTTGTATTATAGATTTATTTGTATTATGCTTTAAATTTATATGTATTATAGAAATATATTTTATGATACATAATATTTATTAGATTGTATTATACATATATTATAGATATATTTTTTAGTTTAATTTATTTCAAGCAGTTATTGCATTAAATATCAAAGACCCGTTAATTAATTTCTGCAGCAAATATTATTCAGCATTGGAATATTATAATTGTTACATACAAATTTGGTTAACTTTTACTTGATTTACAGATTAACTACGCGTAATACAATTGTTATTGAGCGACTAATGTTTAATATATATTGTAACATTGAAATAAATTTTATTAGAATAAGAATGAATTCTCGGAACAAAATATGATTAGCCTATTTCGATTAGCCAAACGTTGATTAGCCTATTTCGATGCTCATTAGCTTCTCTGACATCATTAAAGTACATTAATATTTTTTTCTTTATTGAAATTACTGATGGAGATGTGCGTTACATACTTTCATATATATATATATATATATATATATATATATATATATATAAATGCAGGAGATGAACGAATTTTTTTCGACGAGAGAACAGTTGTTCGAAAGAGGATGACGTATAGTATTTTTTATTCCGCCCTCGCGAATATTTGTTTTCTTCCACGAGTGCAGTAATTTTAACGCAGTCGTTTAAGATAAAACAGTGTCTCGTAATCAGTAGAATTTATTCATGGAATTAAACACGCGACAGAGAGATGTAAAGCCCGCTCTCGGACTGCAATCGCTCGATGTTTGCTGTGCAAACGATTACTCTCTCGCTGCAAGTATTTACCAAATACACGGTACATATTTTATCACTACCATCTTCTGTATCGATTACTACTGCGTAGCAGAACGTAATTTTCTTCCATTTCGATAACCCGAGTTCGATTTTGGCGCGCGAGAAATAAGAATTAACGTTGAATAACATGTTTCCCGCGTAAAAAATCGCTGCGTGAAAAAAAATACGTAGGAAAGAAAACGCGATTTCAAAAATGGCCACGGAGTGTCAGAAACACTCGTTTCGCTCTGCGAATGAAAATTTGAGCTATCTCGCAGCTGTAACTGGAGGTTACAGACAATTACATGTGGAATTCTCGTTTCACCAACACTACACACACACACATACGCGGAAAGTCGGCGGAACACGTCATCGCGTCATACCAACAGTGAACGGGTCAACCTCTTACTATATAGCATGCAATGTACAGGGTGCTCCAGGCACCTTTCACTCTTTCTTTCTCTCTTCCCTTCTTTCTATTTACTACAGAGTTTCCCACACGCGATTCTTTAATTCCGTATAAATTAATTAAAATTTTTCATTTCTATCTCAAATATTTCTGAACTACATGTGAAATATTATAAAATTCTGTTGAGATAAAGTCCATTTAAAAGTTTTTCCTCCCATTTATTTATATTGTTTTCCTTTGCATTGTTCTCTTTGATTGTTCTTGCAAAAAAAAAAAAGCTGGCAAAAAAAAGAAATTGCGCTGACACGCCATTAGGGGTTAAAACATATTTAAGTGACATGATGTGGAAATAGAAATATAATAACACGTCCCATCTCTTTCTTTTTCCCTCAATTCCAAATAGAAAACTGCGAAATCGCGTTTATCCGACACGGCACGACGCGACACGACGCCAGATGGCCGATATATCGACAGAAGTGTCGATTTAATTCCCATCGTTATTCTTTATCTGGTATCACCCCGGCAGATAAGCTCCGATACGTCCCCGAGATTTACCCCTTAGTGAGTTTCTTTTTTCCTTGTAACAAACGACGATCGTTATAAAAATAATAAGCCGACACGCGGGCGATTCTGCGTGCGTAGTCGGATGCGAATTTATCGCCGGAAATGGCCTCCACGTTTCCCAAGTCCTTGGTTAAGCTTTTATCATTTGGGCCACGCACGCCGGAGAGAGAAAACACGCCTATCATTTGACACGCAATGTTACTATATAGAGCATTATATTCTTATTTTTCAACAAATATGTCGTTCGAAAGTTAAAAAGGAACGACATAATTTTGATAAAATTATTTTATTTTGTAATAAATACATTAATGTACAATATAGAGATGTTTTTATTATATGTATATATTAACTTTACAACGATATGATTTTTGTAAAAGTATAAGAATATATATATATATATGTATATATAGATCAGTATATAATTAAAGTAGTGCGACTAATACTATGTTTTTTTTTTATTTTTGCTCTAAATGCGAGGTGGATCATGCCAAGGATAATAATCGCGATAATGATGATACACAAAGAGAATTTTCTCTTAAAATTTACCCTGAAAATCATGATATCGTGACACAATATTGTCTTGGAAGAATTTTATAAGAATTTCTCTGATTAATATTTATTTGTGACACAATAAAAAATATTAATATCTATCACATTAAGATATAAAAAATATGTTCGATTAATTTTTCTATGTATTAATATTTTTTATTGTCATGATTTTCAGGGTAAATTCTAAGAGAAAGCATACACGATTTTGTTTATTATAAAATGTAACAAAAATATAAAAGATTTATTGCAATTGAATATTGTCAATGAGGCCAATGAGTTACGATGAATTCCAGAAAATTATAATTCTAGTTAGTAAAAGATTATTTTCTCAAAGACAAAATACAGAGTCATGTCGATCTTGCGAAAAAAATTATAATCGTATAAGAAATTTTTACGAGTCGCGCGAGACGTCGGGATATATCCTTATGACAGGGGTCGTCATGAGATCGGAATTTAAATCGCCGAATGAGCGCCTCGACGAGAGATTTCGTGTCGCGGAGCCGCGAATGTATGCCGGCTCATTAATGCGGAAGGTCGTAGACGAATAGATATCTCGTTTTAACATTCGGAGGATGTTCTCACGTTTCCGGTTAACCAAAAGTGACGTCATCAAACGTCTTCTCTCAAATGGGCAGCTCTCTCTCACTCATGTCAGTCTCTCTGTCATTCTGTGTCTTTGTCTATCTCGTTATTCAAACCTTCGCGCGATTGATCGAAACTACACGTGGACTCATCCAAGTTTGTACAATTGCAATTTCAGCTTCCGCGAACGCGATTACGTTAGAGTTTCGTCTTACACTTACGTGTTCTTTTCAACAATGTGTTATTGTACATTTAACCTTCAAATTTATCTTATATTAGTGTGAAAAGAACATTATGAAACACTCAGACAGATTTTTACTTTAGATAAAAAAATAAATCTCTATATTTTTGTCTCTTCTCATACCAATTATATAATTATTTTACTGTCAGTCGACCAAAAACAATAGCGTAATGAAAATCACATCTTAACATAAATCTAATAATTTGACTCTTGATTATCGAGGACTTTAATATTAAAAATTTAAACTTATACACAGTTGAAAAATTTGTGTTAAGTTTGACAGATATCACATGTCCCAAACGGTTCACACAAATTTTTGTGTTAATTTAAATAATATAGATATGTTAAATGGAAACAAACTAACTCTGTGTTAATACTTAAACACAAAATAAATTAAAACTTCACGTAATTTAAAATAAATTTTGTGTAAAATTAACATAGTTTAAATGTAAAAATTATTCTTACTTATATTATAAAATTAACATTTTTTCTTGCAAAATTTAACAGAAAAATCTTGTCATTAATAAAACAAAACATTTATTGTGTAAAATTAAAAATACATGCATTGTGTTCTTTTCAGTTGTTTTAATAATTTAACATTTATAAGTTTGATTAACACAGCAGCAATATGTTAAATGTATGTAAACTGAATGTGTTAAATACTTAACATAAAAACTTTAACGAAAAAAAAACAAATTTTTCTACTGTGTGGAATGATCATATACCTATTATCACTCAATTGTCATTAGAGCGAAAAAGCTACGATTTTCATAGAAAGCAAGCAAGTCCGATGACTCATCCGAGGACCTGCGGATAAAATATCCTCGATATAGAACTTGATGATTGCACCACCCTTTCGACCTTGCGAAGTAATAAGACTTAATCAACTCGCAGCGCGCAGCTCGGCGCGGATTTCGGATGGACCCGGCTCGACCGAATCTTCGGTAACCACTCGACGATCCAATCTATACAGCTTGCCCCTGGTTTGCGCTGCTCGAGCTGCCGTCCTTAATCGGATCCCGACCGACGATGATGCTCGCAGCCCGTAATCTCTCTGATAGGATTTGCGCGGCAACGCGTAAACGCTCGCTCGAGCATCCGTCGAACTCCAGATATATATTCGCGTTCGAATATAGTCGAAGTTTAGGCCACTTCACATCGTTATATGTATATGTATATACGCGCGTTATATGCATATATTCGGTGGCTCGTAAACGCCTGTTTGGGATACGTGCCTAACTTATTTCGGCTCGATAATCACCGGCAGCTCCTCTTCGTTATATGGATAGAGAATTTTCGTTCAGAGAAAATTTGATCAAAATCCTCGGTAAAAACAGGATATCGTGAAAGAAATTTCGACCAAATAAAAGAGTGACGTCGTAAAAGCACGTCGTATACTCGAATCTCTTTCGTCGCGCAACTTGACGACCGATCTTGTCAACCTATTTTGTGTGACAACAATTTTGCTTATATATATACATAGAGTTTTGGTTAAAACTCTCTCTACGTTATATATGTATATTTTCTCATTTCAATTTATGTAATACGTCTTCCGTAACTTTCTTCGTCCAGATTTCTTTTTCTCCGTACGAACTTTTCGCCATTTTTTAATCTCATTACGAAACACGACATTAAATTGATTAATGCGGGCTATAAATGTGAGGTTAAAAATAAATGTAAAAGTTATCGAGTTATCTTGATGCGATTTTGAGATTTTATTTCGCGATTAAAATCTTTATTGATAACATTAAGTTTTAATTTTCACTCGTCGATGTTAAATATATTTAAAACACATCATACTATATAAATATTTGCAACGAGAAATAAAAGTTAAGCGTTGAAATGAGCTGGTCCATTGTGGAGAGTTTTAAATTGGTTTTAAATTGAGTTGCTAAATTTCTCGTACACATATTTTCCGCGCCAAGAAACGTTCTGCCGAGCTCGATCGATCGAACGTGATTCACTATATACCTGTGGATCGTGAGAACCGAAAAATAAAGACCATGACATATGTCGCTTCTTTCCAATGATTTTAATTTAACCATATATACTCACACATTCACTCGCGCGGAATAAAATTCGCATTGTTGAAAAGTGACAGCAACGCACCTGTCAGTCATTCTTCCCTCTGTGTGTCATATTTTTTTTTCTCTTTTTTTCGGAACCTGAGAAAAAGGCAAAGTAACGGTATACTCTCGAAGTCACTTCCGCTCCGACGACGTCAGCTGCAAATTTCTTTTCCCCGCAACCTATAACGAAAATTATGTTGATACCTCTGCTCTGCATAAAACATGCTTCTGCGCCATCGCGGTTGGCAAGTATATATAAGAAAAAGAAAATGCACGATTCCGTTTTTATATTGAAAGTTATACGATTCTTTTTCTCATCGCACTTTTATATCATTTCGACTTACTTAATGTCCTGTCCATAAAGACTCCCGACTATTGTGTTCCCTCTCTCTCTCGTCCTTTTATCTCGACTTATTCAAGCGATGACACGATTTCAAATCGAGTCCGTGCCGGGCCATCTGAATATCGCGCGGTATCGCGACGCAGGGAAAATCGCAGACATTGTCGACTTGCACACCAGCGAAATACTACGCGTTTCTCGTGCATGAATCAAGGGATCCGATATTTCTCGGTCGTGGTTATCACTCGGCGGCTGTCCTATCGGAGAGAGAAAAGTCCCCGGCGCGATAAGAACATACCACGAAACCGATGGCGGAACGATTTGGGGTGGGGGAGAGAAGAATGGAGAAAGAGGGTGAAAGGGCGCTCACCGTCGTCGAGGTAGGTCAAGAGGTCACTGGCTTCGTGAGAATTTTCGCGCGAGTCGCTCTGTCGCCTCGAAGAGCACATTTCATCGAGCCGTGCACATTTGACATGTGTATATCTCTAGTTCGCTGAAATTTTTATAATTCTATTATATAGGTGTGGCCTTTACTCACTTGACCTAAATCGCAATTTAGCTGGGATATTTATCGCAGTCAAGAGTTGTCGATTGAAAAAAAATCGAATATATAATACCGAGAAAATTGTCTCTTGCATGAAATTTAAAAATCCTGGAAATTATGGTAATCATGAGAGACAATATGGAAATTATTGGAAAAATTTTATAAGAGTCTCTTTATTAATACTTGCTGTAATAAAAAATATAATAATCTTACTATACACATAGTAAAATTAATCGAACATATTCTATATCTTATTGTGGTAGATTTTTTATTGTATGATAATATTAATGAAACTCTTATAAAATTTTTCTGTGATTTTCAGGGAATTTTAAATAAGAGAAAATTCTCTCTGTGTATACGCATTCTTTTTCGATTGTACAAAATTGACAGAGCAAAGCCGGTTTTATCGAATTAAACAGGTGTATATTAAAATTATCTTCCGCTTGTATCAGATCGTTCTCGAGATTCTAAACGATCGCGTGGAAAATTATATTTTCCGTGCGGACGGGTATATTTTTTGCCGCGTAATTCGCGATCAAAATATTGGAACGCGAATGTCAATCTTCCGACACGAGAAAATATTGACACATCCAGTTATCGAATCGCGCAAACAGGAGCTCTCGAATGAATCCGGGAGAAGGGAGGATCCATTAAAATCGCAATGATGGTGATACACCCTCGTAGCGTTAATATCTAACGAAATGATGAAAATGATTGTGCGAAAGGTTGACGGCTAAAAACAAAATCCCCACCCTTTTTCATCGTGTATTATTCGACAAATACGATTTTCTACGTATTAACTCGCGCGTATTAACACTCGCTAACGCGATCGATCGCGGCTTTTTGCCGCTCGATTTTCGAATGGCACAAAATCGACAGTGCATATACATACATTTGTACCGTATACCTATATTCACACATGTGCACTTCGCCACCACACAGGTTTGCCCAAACAATTTGCAGCGGCGCGTGGAATATTCATGCGGCGTCGGGTCGGCGATGCGGAACGAGAAAATCAGATTCCCGCCTGATAGATACAACTTTTAATTAGGTCGTAATAACAACGACTGATCGTCCGTTAATATCGCTTGTTCGTGCTTAATGCACGGCTGTTGTTGTCGCGAATGTTTGCAGCATTGTATGCGCGCTCTATTTTTCGTCCGAAGGTATAATCCGCGTATTATACGTTGACGTGAAGCTTTAATTGAATGGAGAGAGAGAAAAAGAGAGAGCATAATATATATTATATATATTATACATATATATATATATGTTCGATACAGTCGCGTTAATTATAAACTGCCGTAGCATTGAGATATTAATTTTTGGAAGAGACAGGAGAGAAATGCTTTTCGGAGGTGGTTGATTACGCGTGGATGATGTGTAAATTTTGAAATGTACAAACTGTCAGCGAAATATGTAGCGGTGATTTGCGTAATCAGCGTTCCCCGGGCTTTTGTTGAAGTCAACATCATTTCAACGAGGAAGTATGTACCCATAAATTTCGTGTTTACGACATATGCGCCGAATTCAGATGAGCGCGTATATTTCTTCAGAAAGAAACAACCGCTTGCTGAATCATCACGCTGCAACTTAAGAGACTTGTCCGATTTATATCGGCGATTAATTTGGCAAGATTCGCATTACCATTCTAATCTGTTTGTCATAATTTTAATTTTGAATTTAAAGGGAAAGTTAAGATTAAAAATTAAACGAATATTAATTGAATTATTTTTCTCTCGGATTCTCGAATTTATACATATTTTGTATCGCGCGTTTATTTTCTTCAAAAATCTTTTTTAATTTTTTCTCCCGCAAAATTTCGACAATTTCGCTTCTATCGTTTGTCGTCGTTTGCACATCTGCGGATTTCACGGTGGCGCGTCCTTGGCTCACTTCCAGACCGTCGTTACTGAATTCCCCATCGAACGATTGTGATTCGTTGTTGTTTTACGACTGCGGCTGTAACGTCCCTCTCTTACGCCAGGTGCGTCAGGTAAATTGATGGCGATTAACTTACGCAACGTTCCCTCGTTTCCGCGCCCTTCCGTCGTTACATTTTCCATCGTCGTTACGACCGACGCAGGATCCGCCGTCCCATTTTATGTCCTGAAAAAAGAATGAAGCGCTCTTAAGGCGCGCAAAGAGGAATGAATAAGAAAAACAAATTTAACAAATGGAAACGTATTTGGAATATTTATTCTGTTACACTTTTTCTTCTGAAATATGCATATATATATATATATAAATATATAATTTTATATTTATATTTTAAATAATATTTAAATATACAAAAAATATAAATAATTTATAAAATATACAAATATATAAATATATATATTTATAAATAAAAATATATATACAAAAGGCTTGCGCTATTTTTAATACCTTTGTGGACGTTGGCGATACATATATATGGAGATGAAAAATATCGGGCTGTGAAAATACTGAATGATTATTAAAAGTTACGAGACAAAAAACGGAAGTAAAGAGAGAGAGAGATTCTCTAGCGCATTAAAGCTTCCCGATAAATTGTTCCACGCTCTCCGATCGTTTGCATAAACGCGTTAACATCAACGCGAGAGAGAGAGAAGAATGGAAAAAAAAGGGGAGACAATTTTTGCACGACTGCGTCGTATTTCTGCGCCGTGTGACTTTGCCGTTTAATATATCCGCGCGTCGCGAACACGTATCGACCGCGGTGAGTTCTCGTGCGGTTTTGTTGCCGCACGGGTGTCGGTTTCGCCGGAAGTTTCGCTCCGTTGCGTGTTTCCGGCTATCTGTTGAGATCGGACAATAGTATATTGCGCGATGCAAAACATTTGGTTTTTCCCTCCCGCCGTCCCTTCCTCCTTCTTCTTTCTTTTGCTCCACGTGCATGCGTTTAGATCATATATAGATGTGTCATTATCGTCGCCGAGAGAGAAAGGTCGACGATGAAACTAGCCGCGATGCGAAGAACGTGATTATCCGCGCGATCGTTTTAAGATATTTAAAATGACATTATTTAATCGCACACATATATTCGCTTTGACATATATGTCATTGCGTGAAATAGCATTTGATAAACATCATTATATTATAGTGTATAATTATATTATACGCATAATATATTTTATTATATATTATATAATATCATACATTACGTATATTATACATAATTATATTATACATAATATTTTATTATTACATTATTACATAATATAATTATATAATATAATATATATATATATATTTATATATATAAATAACTGTATTTATTATTTACATTAATATGCATAATTTAAGTAATTTTATACATTATATGCTTCATTATTTTTCTTTTTTTATCTGAATATATCTACTATTTTATTTATAGTGTGATATTTTTATATGTTGCATTTTTATCAGTTGTACAATTTTATCACTAAACTGCGGTTTATTTCAATCCTTATTTTGACCTCATTAAAACTTCGAGATAATTATCAATTTGGCATTTTATACAAATGCATAGAGGTAATTATATTTCTTTTTCTTCAAATTTGTTTCTTAATATTTAACACGGGTATCAAAGTACGCACTTGATTTCATTATCGTTTCATTATCGTTCTTGATTTATATTTAATTCAGAATACTATTTCCTTCTGTAATTAGGAATTTTTTCAAATTTAATCTTTTTTTAAATTTTTTTATTATGTATGTGATGCCTTTCTGCGAATTAATTCATAGTTTTGCACATGAGATCTTTTTTGTCATGACTTCTCTCAAGCGAGAACTAATTTTTCGAGGAAAAATCTCCAATGCTTCGATTCGATTTTCTCATGTTTTCGATACTGAAAGGATAGCGTATTTTAAACGGAAAAATTCCGGACATGTACCAGAGAATTCATTTTGCGCATTCTTTTTCGAACGTTCGATACCAGCCGCTATTGTAATATCGATCGTGTCACGAATATCGATTACTAACCACCTTTGATATTTCGTTTTTGCGGTACTGTGAAATAAATATTGTGTAAATTTGGGATATGTCGGAAAAATTGATAACATTAACCAAAAATATAATCAATTTTCTATAAAAATACTACTGTAATGACTTGGTATTTCCTCTTAATTGAACGACTTTTCGAATTATATAATTATTCATAAATATGATAAATATAAAAGAGAATTTTTGCACTCTCTCTATTACATCAATATTTTATAACTATTCTCTCAGTTTATACATTACTTGATATTAAATTTTAATTTTGATGAAGGTAGAATTATTTTAATTTTGAATAAAGGTATAAATTACATGTTATATAATAAAGAGAAGAGAAAAAGAATGACTACGTCATAAATATAATTACGCCACATAATATTTTTATATTTTCTAGAGATAATGACATTGTAGTAAAAACGCTAAATGCTCTCCATGATAAATCCTGTAATAAACTAGTGCTACGAGTATAGTTGTTTTGTAATAAAGATATAAAAGATTAAAATTCACACGGATGCGTTCGTGTCTCGGCATGCGCGTGCACTTATACTAAACGAAAATTTTCTTTCTGCTTTCAGGTGAGTATTGTAATGCCCCGACAGAGAGTACCGTGAAAAGGTCGTAAATTTTGTAAGTACCCACACCACACGAGATTACGAGCATTATATATCTTCAAGATAACGTATAGGCTTTTACGCTACTTGTCAGTGCGAGCTCTCGCTCTTTACGACTTTGCATCATAATCTCGAAGAATGCGCTACAA